CCCTTGATACGCTTATGAGTGGATGGAATCACAACTGTGTCCTGCAGAAGCAAGGAATAAAACCTCTCCCCACCCTCAAAAAACAAAACGAAACAAAAATGGCTATTACACACAGGCTTCCATCACTTGGCAGCGAACGGGGCATGCCAAGTCCCGTGTTAGGCCCTGGGATGCAGAGGGTTCTCAGGCACAGGACGTGCGTTCCCTGTCAACAGGGAGGAAGTTCAGGGCCCTCAACTGCTAATATAAAGCAAGGTGCAATGGGGCCTGGGGCATAACCAGGACTTCACTGTGACTCTCACAGGCCCCACACGCCTTCTCCTTTCTACATAAACAAATATTAAAAGTTATATTTTACAACTCTGATACATAAAGATGAGTATCCAGAACTAGACTAGTTCTCTTTCTGATTTTTAAATGAAATTTAACCAGTTTGTGGGCCACTAAAAATATACTGTGCCTAATAGAGAAATAGTCCCTTTTCCTGACTGAGTCCCAGATGAGGGGCCCGGGAATTCCACGCTGGGAAAGGTGACTACTGTTGCAGGAGAAGACGGCAGGGAGGGGAGAGGATCAGGGAAGGGAAGCTGGGACCAGAATAAACCAAATGCCACACTACAAAACCTGGGCCCTCCCAGGCTGGTAGGGGAAAGAGCAAAGCCAAACTGCTATGGAGGCGGGGTCTGCTGGAAGGAAGCCCACAGAAGGTGGGCTGAAATTGAGGAAACGGGCAGAGAAGAGGTGCCCAGAGCAGCAGCTGGGGCAGTGTCTGAGCTTTGTGGAAGCAGAGGCCACAGCTGTCCTGCTTAAAACATAATGCCCAGTCCCTGGCACGTAAAGGTGCTTACTACATGCTCAATGGATGAAGCAAACAACCAGCAACGAACACACTCGGAATAGAGCAATTAACACAGAGAGGGAAGGATGGATAAAGAAATGGCCCTGAAGGTAAAAGTCAATGCTTTGTAAATTTCCTTGATTCTGCACAGCCCATCTCCCCTGTAACTTATGAAGGTGACGGAGTTTGACTGTGAGCTTCAGAGTCTTTCTCCCACACATAGCAGGGCCCACATGCAGCAGGAGCCATGCCAGCTCCCTGAAACTGCAGGATGGTCCCTTTGTTCTCCACATATGTGTGAGGAGATCAGACTGGTGGCACTGAAAGCCTGAGGCTACTGGCTGATGTCAGAAGCTGGCATTCATGGTGTCCCCACATCTAGTGCTGCTTTGCAAGGGTAGAACACAGCGTAGGCTCAGAAGGACTGAGCCATTCAAGCAGGAAGGAAAATAGGAACCTACCCCTCCACCAGCTACAAAAGCTCAAGGCAGGGCTTTGAGAGAACAGCACACAGACAGGCAAGTGTGTTCGATGGTGGAGGAAGGTAGTGATGAGAGTGACAAGCATGGACCACATGGAAGGCTTCCTGAGACAAGGAGGCAAAAGGATCTCAGGGATGGAGAGAAACATGGAAAGCAGACGTTCCCTGAACCAAGTCAAGTCACGACCCTCTTCTTCCAAGTCCCGCTGAGTCTCTGTGAGAAAGAGTCCTAGGACCTGGTCGAGCGGAAGGCCCAATATACTCCTCTCAGAGCAAGTCTTCACAAGGGTCTGAACAAGTTCATTCTTCTAGGCTGCCGAGAGTTCTGCGGGACCCTAAAAGCCTTGTGATCAGATGCTCACACAGGATACGCTAAGGAGGTCAAACATAATAATGCAACGTGCAGCTCCTCCATGTGCGTGCAGACACACAAAGGAGAAGCTTTCTATTTAATAAGATGTCCAAGAAGGGGGTGGGGGGGACCCACAGTGCAGTAGTTTGGCGCTGAGTGAGTACTGAGGCTCGGATCCCACATGAACAAGTGTGTTTTGAGCCCTGGTTCTGGTGGCTTGGGAGATAAGCTGGAGTACTGGAGACATGCATGCGTATGGCTGCCCAGAATTCGGGAAAGATAGAGGAAAAAGAATTTGCATGTGGCTGCTCCCTATTGGGGCTTCTCTGTCTCTCCCACTCTCTGGCAGGAGTATACACCCTTGGGCAATAAAAATAAAGAAAAGAAAACCTTTAAACCATGACTGCCAAAATACAACCTTCCTAATTGCTCCTAAGACTAGAAACTTCACACTTTTTTTTTGGGGGGGGGGGAGGTTTTTGCTATAGGATGTGTGCATTCACCAGAGAGACATAAAGTGAGAAATCACCACTCCCCCGTCCCCCAGGGGGATGGCCACACCACAATCCCTTCTCCTCCATTCTCCTTTTGGGACCTTGGGCACGCACGCACACACACCTGGTGTGAGTTTAAGCCACCGGGTCCAGGACTCAAACCGTGGTTGACTACATGGGAATCCAGAGACATAGCCATTATGCCAACTGCTGGTCCCTACACTCCTTTTTCAAATTAGTCATTAAGATGGTCAAAGGATACAAAATTTCAAACAACAGGGCTTTTTCTTTTTTTCTTTTTCTTTTTGAGATTTACTGTATGGCATGGTAAACAGAGTTAATAAAGGTATTTTGTACTTTTCAAAACTGCTAAGAGAATAAATTTCAAATGTTCTCACCACAAAAAATGGTAAGTCTTGGTAAGTATTTGAGATGGAAGACATATTAATGAACACAGTTTAATTATTTCACATTGTATTTATAAATCATAATACTCTATACCCCATAAAGAATGATAAATTTGGCAATTTACAATAAAATAAATGACAGAGCTGTTCAAACTGGTTGTACACAACTTCCTGATAAAACCTACCAACAGAAAAAGAAATGAATGACATCGATAGCTGTGGTGACAGCAGTCTGCTCTTTTCCAGAATGACGTGGAGGAATAAAGCAGGAAGAGGAGATGGAGAGACAGGCCCATTAATCGGATGCAGCTTGCAAGGTTTTGAGAAATTATATTACAGACGATTGTGTACTCTAAGTTTACATACAAATAAGGTACATAAAAGAACTGAACTAATGGAGAGTGAAATTCACTTAAAAAATAAAAAAGTAAGATTTTTTTTTCTTAAAATGGAATAAAGACTAGAACTATCTTAAGATATGTTATAAAATAATAGCTATCAAAATCATCATCTAAAAATAAAAAGAAAACTATAACTAAAGTACAAGACTACTTCCCAAAATAGATCTGGGATACCACTGAAATAATCACCAATATTTATTTTCACATTACACCTTCTTAAGTGGTGAGATTATGAGGTTTCAGAATGTTTGTAGTTTGTTGTAATGCAAATGTCTCAGCTTAGGGTGGTGTCTTTTTTCCCCCTGTTCGAAGAGCCTGTGGTAACAAAGCAATATCCTGTTGAAGCTCAGTATCAGGTACAAAGCCAAGGTGCCAAAAGTGAAGAAGCCGCCTTGCCCTTCCTGGCAGCTGACAAAGCGAAGACAGCTTTCAATCCTGAGGTTTCGTATGACCAACAAAGAAGAACGCCTTGAAATTCTGGTGCTAACAAGACAATTCACTAGACATGGAGCTCTGAGTAACTACCTTTTCCCTGGTGGGCATCAGTCTTCCCACCAAAAAGATGGAAATGTTGAATTAGGTCCACTCAAGTTCCTTCCAAGTCACCAATGTTACCATTCTGGCCTCTCAGCTAAGTTTAGAAACCCACAGGGAAAGAACAGGAATGCAATGACATATCCTCTTCCCAAACTTTGAGCTGCGAATGTAAGTTTCAACGCAGATCATGCAACTAACCCTCAAGGCCATGGAAAGCAAGATTACCCTTCGAAAAACAAATCCAAATATAGTCAGAAGGCTCAGCTGGGTGGGGCGAATGTTTCCCTAAATGTGGGGCATGAAAGCTCACGCGGCACACACCTCTCTGAAGGTGAGACCTTGGGTAAGCACAAAAAAGAAATAAAGTCAGCCCCAGGATGATTAGCAAGGCAAGTTAGATCTGTCCAGCATCCAGAGCAAAACATCCTGGTCATTCAGGAATGGCAACAACTCTACTGACTTCCCAAAGGACGCAGCAGCTAATATTCCATGGAGAGTCTCTGAGATTCTGGAGATTCCAGCATGTCCCTGCATTCTGCTAACATCTGAGTAATCTACAGATTTAATCCCATCTATGTAAATTAAGATCCTTTTCAATACAATCCACTCTATTTATAGGCTCCACTGTTACACAAAGGTAAGCTTCACTAATAGCTTTTATTTATTTATTTATTTTTAATTATTTTACTTAACTTTTTTTATTATTATTATTTTTCAGTTTGATCAGAGAAAGACAGAGAAAGCGAGAGAGGGAAAGTGAGAAGCAAGCCACCAGGTCCGGGACTTGAACCACGGTTGGCCGCAAGATTACCCTTCGAAAAACAAATCCAAATATAGTCAGAAGGCTCAGCTGGGTGGGGCGAATGTTTCCCTAAATGTGGGGCATGAAAGCTCACGCGGCACACACCTCTCTGAAGGTGAGACCTTGGGTAAGCACAAAAAAGAAATAAAGTCAGCCCCAGGATGATTAGCAAGGCAAGTTAGATCTGTCCAGCATCCAGAGCAAAACATCCTGGTCATTCAGGAATGGCAACAACTCTACTGACTTCCCAAAGGACGCAGCAGCTAATATTCCATGGAGAGTCTCTGAGATTCTGGAGATTCCAGCATGTCCCTGCATTCTGCTAACATCTGAGTAATCTACAGATTTAATCCCATCTATGTAAATTAAGATCCTTTTCAATACAATCCACTCTATTTATAGGCTCCACTGTTACACAAAGGTAAGCTTCACTAATAGCTTTTATTTATTTATTTATTTTTAATTATTTTACTTAACTTTTTTTATTATTATTATTTTTCAGTTTGATCAGAGAAAGACAGAGAAAGCGAGAGAGGGAAAGTGAGAAGCAAGCCACCAGGTCCGGGACTTGAACCACGGTTGGCCATGTGGGAGTCCAACGCCTTTAACCACCACAGCACTTGCCAACCCAAGCTTCACGAATATCTAAGTACCATCCTTTCAATTCTAGTTACTGATTATAAATGCTTACAAATGCAGGAGACTGCAGCTACTGAATATACTGACTATTTCTGTCACCTTGGGAGATACTGACATTTAGCAAAGTCTGCACTATGAGAGAAAAAGCAAGCACCCATCAGAAGAAAAATGAAAGCCCCACAGCCAAACATCCTCAGGACCTGCATCAAAACACCTGCTCCTGGAGAACAGGATCAAACCAGAATTTTTAATTACCAAGCAGTGTTTCTGAAGCTTTTTAGGTGTAACTTTCAGCACATAAATAAACACATATATACATACATAAAATATATATTTCATGTCACCACCTGGTACATATATACATATTACATATTACATATCTCTGAAGTTAAAAATACTACTCTCAGGAGATATATAGCTAGGGAGATGGATATATAGCTAGATGGACAGATATTATCCTTTCTCTACTGTTTCTTTAGCTTCTTGAAGTTCTGGTCACAACCCACTAAATTAAACTCACAACTAAAACTCACTTTTCTTAACTGACAGAGGACACATGTGTGTGCCAGAGAGAAAGCACCCTCCCCAATGGGGCCTGGTCATGTCACAGGCCTCTTTCCATCATGTTTCCATCTCTTCAGGATCCTGGCATACGCACACGAGTACCTGGTGTATTTTTTCAAGTTGTGATTCAAACTGTGGTTGGCCATGTGGGATCTGGCTCGCTATGCACAGCACTTAACCACTGCACTATGGGACTGACCTCTAAAGATTTTTTTTTTTTCCTGAAATGTGGCAGAGGAAGGTAATCAAACTCATCCTGAATTACACTGCAAATACTGAAGAAGTCCTTTCTCACACTAAGCAATTACTCCCAAAAATGACTATTACATTTTTGGACAAGTGACGCAGGGTCCCAGCCTAATCGGGGGAGCCAGGCTGGCCTCGGCCCTGTACTTCCCATACCTCATTCGGTAGTGGAGCCGGAGCGACGTTTTGTCATCGATGGTGATGGTGTGATTCGGAGCATACCAGAGCTTGGTTTTCTCATCGTACAGGGCAAAGAGGTTATGACACAGAGGAGAGATAGCTGGGGAGAAGCAAAAGACACATCCGAAAAATTAAAGGTAGATACATGTAGCCATCTGTTTCCGAAGACCACACAGGCAAAGACAGGGAATGCTCTCATCCAGAAAGGATCTAGGTCACTTGTGTGCTTGTTGAACAAATACGACTTCCAACCATGTTCAGTCAGGCAGTTTTAATCACCATAATCAGGAACTATGACTCCCCAGGAACACATACTGTTGTCCGTGGCAAACCAAATTAAAATCATGGAAAAATAAAAGTCTGGTGGGATTTCACATTACAGGTGCCTATGAGAGAATCGTACCAAATCCAGCTCGAAAGAAAAAAGAGGCCAGCTGAGGGGTTCACAGTTCATGCCTGATATGCGCCTTCCCCATCAGTCAGACACCTTCCCCATGTTTGAGAAACCCTCGGTCTCTTTCCTACAGAAAATGTTTAAACAATCCTAACATGCTGTGATTATACATTAAACGTGCAAAGAAGTTGCTGGCAGGATGGTATAAAATGTATATTAGAATAAATAATAACCAAAGTGATTTTGTCAGTGATTAAAATCTATTACCATTAATAATAAATAGGCTTCTTAAGTACTCTGTAGAGTTATCATAAATATTCTTCATTAGTAGCCAACTAACAAGACAGATGCTTAACAAAGCTGGCCCGGCAGTGCTCGATGGCCTCCCACTTCATCAATCACCTGTCTCAATGTAAGAATGATGGGAAAGATAAGGGAGAAATGAAGCACTCATTTCTGAGGCCATGATTAAATTTACACAGACCCATAATCTGGGGTGGGGTAAACAAATGAGTGCCAATAACTAATTACTACCTTTTCATGCACAGCCAGGCCTTAAACTAAGAGACAGTGAACTTAAATGACCCCCCCCCAAAAAAAGAAAAAAAGTGGGAGAACATGAAGTCACTGGAACTTTCCCAATCAGACATCTGAAGTGAGACTGACACCACCCCCATCCGGGACCTGCCCACGTAGGCAAGGACTCTGTCCAGTGCAGACATGGCATTAAGTCACAGGTGCCTTGGCATCTCAGTCATCTCCTGAATGTCTCAATCCATGCCTCTGAAAAAATGTTTAAAGTTATCCCTTCAGAAGTCATATTCCTCCTTAAAACAAAGAAGATGGAGCTCAAACTTTCATGGGCACTTTCCCTTGGGAATAAAGGCACATGGCTTCTGGGTCCAGTGTTATTAGGACTGTTTCAAGTACTCTATAGTCTTCCATTCATGACTGGCTCGTATGGATTGGCCTGGAAACCCATATCCACGTTTGTATACCAGCACTCACATATTTAAGGCATGGCTGCGTGATCATAGAACTGTCTGTAAGTACATCATGGGTCTGATTCTAACAAAGTTACTACCTATGAAAGGAAGGGCAAACTTACCTTTTCATATAAAAATACTGAATAATAACAACAACAATACTACTATTTGCTGAAGGCCAAGAATCAGGCCCCAAGATAACACACACTACATTTACAGTTGGGCCTCCCAATCTCTACCCTGGTTCAAAAATGTGACATTGTTGCCATGGTGTGCTATATAATTGGGCCTATGATGATGTGTTTCTACAGAACATGTACAGACTTCTTCTTGTCATTATTCTCTAAACAACACAGTGTGACAACTATTTACATACTTTTTATAACATACTAGGTGTTATAAGCAATCTAGAGATGATTTATGGTATAGGGGAAGAAGTGTGTAGGTTACATGCAAATGCTATGCCATTTTATATAGGGGACTTGAGCATTCATGGACTTTGGTAATGGGGACAGGAGGAGAAGGTCCTGGACCAATCCCCCATGGACACCGAGGGATAACTGTTATTACACTTGAATCCTCCTGTTACCTAATGTTGAAAGTATTAGTTTAGATATTTTATAGATGAAGAAACAGTGGTCTCCTGGGATTTAGTCTAAGTCAAGGTTTCCCAGCTATTAAAATGCAGATTTGAGATTAGAAACACTGAGAATTACTGAGAGGATGAAACAAGAGCTAAAAGGACAAAAACTTTACCACATACAGGTAAAAAACAGGGATCAAAATATCATTGCCATAGCAACGGCAGGGCTAGCAGAATCTGTAACATCCAGCATGTATGTTTTTACACTTCATGGACTTTTGCAACTTTCCCCTGAGCCGGTTACAGAAGAGACAGCACTGTATGCAGATGAGGCTTACAATGGACACTCCAGCTGAATGACCCTGAGGCCACAGTGACAGGAGACACAGTGACTGTGTCCCCCCTCAGACTCACAGGCTCTCATCTCATCTTTCCCAGCAGGACCCTGGTCCTTCATAATTGCACCCTGCCAATTCTGTAAGAATGATCCTTGTTAACAAACTGAGTGGGGTTTATTCCTGCCATGCTGGAATGATGGCAAGAAGTCTGGCTACAAGAATAAACCCTGTAAACCAATCAAGAAAAAGGACAGAAAAATTTAAAAAACCAAACAAACAAACAACAAGAAAACAAAGCCTTAAGAATGTACTTTGGTCCCGTCTCAGTGTTGCAATGTCAACGCACTGCTCCAGAGATGCCAGGCCCATGTGGAAGACAGCCAGTCCGGTGCCCTCTTGAGCTCATACACGCTGGTTAGAGCGAGAAAGGGGCAGCAAACACCCATGATCCTGGCTGGGAGGGTTGGGGTGGGGATCATGGGCGTGAGACTTCATTGAGGGTGCTTGTCTTTCTCTCTTTTTACCTCTTACTCTCATGGGAGAAATAAACTTTAAAATATGTATATTTAAAAAAAAACTTTAGGGACCAGCAGTTAGCGTAATGGCTATGTCGCTGGACTCCCACGTAGTCGACCGCGGTTCGAGTCCCGGACCCAGTAGCTTAAACTCACACCAGGCACGTGTGCATGCGTGCCCAGGATCCCAAGAGGAGAATGGAAGAGAAGGGATTGCGGCATGGCCATCCGCCCTGGGGGGTGATTTCTCGCTTTCTGTCTCTCTGTTTCTCTCTGTCTGGCTGGCGAGTGCACACACCCTATAGTGAAAACCTCTGAAAAAAAAAAAAACCTTTAGAAGCACTGGTTTATATCTAGTTGTTCTGCTATTTGAGATATATTTAAAGCTGCCATCTGAAGCTGGTTACTTGTAAACACTGCTGCGGAAATAATGCTAAAATACGACTATACTTTCCCACCAATAACGTACAGCCATTTTATTATGTGTTATGTTTAGTTAGCAAGACACTACCACATTCTCTGCTACAGAATGAACCTCTCCCATTGTATTGGAACTCTAGTATGTAAAGCATTTTAGGTAGAAATTGATAGTACTGGGAAGAAAATCAGTCTTTCAGACAAGGCTGTATTACTAACAAGAGAGTTGGTTTTTGAAATAACCATACCGTCTTTACTGAATTGTTCAGAGGATTAAAGATGGCATAAGAAAACCATGGATCCATCTGTCTGGTATCATAGCTAGTTCCTTCAGCATCATAAAACAAGGAGATGAAACAGCTTTATTGAGATATAATTTGCATGCCATAAAATCCACCTGTTTTAAGAGTATAATTCAATGAATTTTAGTCCATTTACTGAGTTGAACAACCAACAGCACATTCTAATTGCCCTAGCTCTGTGACTCAGTTTCAATGATTTAACTTTACTAGTCATTTAAAATTAGGTAGGCAAACAATTGCCAATGTCCCCAAATTCAAAAGATAATGAAAGGGCCTGTCTTTAGTAAGTCACTTTGGTTTCCCACCTTCTGCAGGTGACAGGCTAACTTTAAGTAAGAAAAGCTTCACTTAAAACCAAAAAGGTGGGAGGGACGTGTTACTGCCAGCCTCAGTGTCCTTTTCACAACTTGGCAACCTGACCAGGCCATACAGTGACACTGGGGTTCTCACTTCAACTTCGCACCACATGAGGGAGGGCAGGCTGTGGCAGAAGGATGAGTAGGGCTTGTCAAAAGGAGGTCTGAGTAATGATGAGGATACTGAGAGGCGCTACTTGTTAAGCTTATCGACGGGGCTCAGTAGTTTATATACCACCTCATCTCATGCTGATGTCATTCCGACTGCACAGACCTGGAGGAAACGAAAATTGAGCCTCCAGAGAAGTCAAAGGTCATTCCACGGGACCCTACAGTTCATTAATGATAGAGCAGGAATAAGCCACCATGCAGATTAAGACAGCAAAAAGTGAAACCCTCAGAACTAAATCACTGGCTTAAGTCCCATGCAAGTGGCAGTGGCGGAGGCAGGGCAGAGCCCTTAACTCCCAGAGCCCGTAGCGCTTCCTGGTTAGCTGAGCTACAAAGCAGCAGAGATCCCAGACCTGCTTCTGGGACAGTGTTTCACCATAACCTCTCAAGCCCTGGACAGCTGGCTGTACTTACAGCATTCCTGTGCGGCCCGGATGCACAGCTCCTCCGCCGTGTACTCCCCAGCGCCCAGCCGGAGGGGCTCCCTGTCCGACAGGTAGAAGACCACCTCCACCCCTGGCTCCGGGGCCTCCAGGTTCACCTCGGTCTTCTTGGAGCTCCTCATTTTAGCACAGAAAGCCATGGCATTGCAGTCCTCTTTTATATTTAGATACTGTAGTGAGAAGAAAATGAGACTATGTGATCATCCCATGTGCTAAAAGTTCAAATGGCAAGAGTGCTGTGTGGGTAAGCAAGTCAAAATGCATGGTGTTGGACGAGAACCTCTCCTACTCCTTCCTGTCTTGAATCAAATACTTTGGCACTGACAAGACACAAAACCATGGAAAATAACTGTTTATATATAATAATTAATTATCACCAGACTATTTCTCAGAAAAATAACTTTAGACATGGCCTAAATTTATTTTCTCTATTTATATACAAGTTGGAGTTGAAAAATGCAGCCCATTCTGGAATCAATGATGTTAAAATGCTGATGATGAGTTACTAATACTGCTGTTACCACTACTGGAATCATACAACTTCTGAACAGATCTATAGCAAAAAATCATAGTCCTTTTAGCTTTAAGTCTACCTTCTGCTAAGCAGCAAGCTTGATGACGACGTGAGCCATGTTTTACCTATCTTCATGTCCCCATTTGAACACATGCAAAATGAACTACTATCACATGGAAGGGCCTTAAAGATTAACGAATGGAGCCAGGTCCCCAACACACCACGGGCAGGCAGGCAGGATAGACGGCACCGCTGGCAGCAGGAGGAGGGTGGGAAGCTTCACGCCAGACAGGTGAGAACCTCCCAGTGAGAAGTTTCATGTCACTGACATGAGCGTCTGCCAAAGGGAGGTCAACAGAACCAAAGAGCCAACCTGTGCAATTAAGCCTTGGGTGGGGCCGGGAAGGAGGGAGGGACAAGGGAAAGTCCCACATATTCTTTCTTTCTTCCCCACAGCAGTGGCCTACAAACTGATTTCCCTGACTTGCAGACTCCTGCTTTCTTCCAGGCTGCTAAGCCAACCTTCACTGAACCCCCACAGTGATGTCTCTACATCACATTTAGATCCTCCGATGGCTGCCCATCAGTCTACGGATCAGTTCTTAACCTCTGTAACAAAGGCCCTCTAGCATCTGGCCAGTTGGCCTCACTAACGTATGTGTTGTCACTCCCAGGTTCCTGTTTCGTGCCCACAACCCATAAAGTTGCCATCGTTCTTGCACCCTTCCCTACTCCTATGCTGCTTCTCAACGGGAATGTCTTTCTGACTTACCCTTTCCATGGCACACGCCAACTTTATCATTCGGCTCAGACAGTGCCTTCTCCTGGAGGCCGTCTCTTTACCTCCATCCCATCCTCTAAGTTGGAGGGCCTCTATTCTGTGCTCCCAAACTCACCACTCCGCACTTAACGTGATGAAACCTGGTCACCTTATCATGTGCCCGTGTCTCTCGCTTGTATGTGTCCAGAGTTCCTTCAGAACGAGAACTGTGCCGTTCACCTTTGCATTCCCAGTAGGAAACACAGAGGCAGGCGTACAGTGGGTGCCTATGGAACCATCTGTGAAGATCTACACAGTGAGAAGTCATACAGTGTTCGTGGCAGTCGCAGTTCTCTTGGCCAAACTCACTTGCTTGGTCTATTAGCTGCCCTGGTGAGGAGAAATGCTTAAAGGAGCGACACGAACCAGATTTGTCTCGATGCTAGGAACCCAAAGGCATTCAGTGTTTTTAATCTCCAAAATAAATCTGAAAACCAGAATCTTCTGGAAACCAGGCTGAAAGACTAAGCTCATGACTTACCTTGAAGTTCATTCAGATCCACAGGCAAGGATGTTTTAAGAATCAGCACTTAAACCCCAGCCCCATCCCACGTTGAAAAACAGAGATAGAAAACAGAGCAGCTAAAAGCCAGTTTCATGATATAAGATAAACCTTCATCCTTGAGATTCTTTATCAATAGGACAAATGTGGAATTCAAAGACAGCACTATGCCCTTAAACCCTAAGAAGATAATCAGGCAAGTGCATGTAATTTTACACTTACAAGATGTGACACTGAAACAGAAACAGAAAAATTCAATGGACAGTGTCCAGTAGGAGAGGACTCCTGAGCAAAGTAAGGGATTATCAACACAAAGGACTCCCGTGCAGCTGTTGGGAAGGACGTCGTTGCACTGTGAGCTCGACCCTGAAAGCTGTACACGACACCACGGAGGGATATAGCATGACATGCACATTATGGTCCTTCTGGTTACACACATGTACACTGAAATCTTTAAGAACACATAATAAATTGGGGCCGGCAAGTGGCGTGGTGGTTAAGGGCGCTGGACTCCCACATGGCCAACTGCGGTTTTAGTCCCAGACCTGGCAGCTTGCTTTCTTGCTCTCTCTTTTTCTCTCTCTCTTGCTCATTCACTTTGTCCCTCTCTGGTCAAATTACAATAAGTAAACAAATAAAGTTAAATAAAATAATCTAAAAAGAAAAAAGAAGAAGAAGAACACACAATAAATTGTTAAGAGTAGGGAACATCAGGACCAGCAGGTGAAGTGATGGTTAAGGAGTTGGACTCCCACATGGCTGACCATGGTCCGAGTCCCAGACTAGGTGGTTTTTTTCTCACTTCCCTTCTTAGTCTCTTTCTCTGCCTTCCTCTCTCTGGTAAATGCATGTATACCATAGCAAACTAAATAATACTAACAATAAATAAATAAAATTAAAAAAAAAAGAGTGGGGAATATCTAGGATAGGTTATAGGGACCTTTAACTTTTATTCTGTACTTCCTATACTTTCGTAATTGAGATTTTTTTTTTAGTCACAATATTCACTATTGGAAATAAATTTTAACTTATTTTTTTGCTATTGGGTGTACTTGCCATAGAGAGAGAAAGAGAGACAGAGAGACAGAAAGGGAGAAATCATCCCCTAGGGGGATGGCCATACCACAATCCCTTTTCCTCTGAGGCTTTTTGGGCACACACACACCCAGCGTGAGTTTCAAGTGGCTGAGTCCAAGACTTAAACAGAGGTCAACTATGTGGGAGTCCAGCAACTTACTCATTACGCCATCTGCTGGTCCCCCAAAATATCATTTTTTTAAAGATTAAAGGCAAGAGTACAGGAAACCCTAGAGGTTCAAGATCACAGTTTATTACTTAAGAAGTCACATATTTTCCTTCTTTTCTTAATATGCAAATCTACATACCTGCATTTATTCGGCTGTCTGGTGTCCCCCAAAAAGCAGACTGGGTTTTCTTCTCTATTTTTCAATGGCCCGTTCAGAGCTAAAGACAAAAATAAATTTTAAAGATCAGCTGTGGGGATGATTGCATCTGAAAATAAGAGAACACTTTCATAAGCAGACAGGAAAGAAAAAAACATTTAGGAGGAAGAAGGAAAAAGCAAACAAATAAAAAGACTGATGAGATCATCGAGAGGACAGAGACACAGCCTGGGGTATAAACATCAGAGTCAAACGAAGACATTATTTTCATTGCTTTGAGAAAGGAAGTCAGAAACGTTTGCTTCTTGGTGTAGAATATCCTGTCTAATGTACATGAAGACCATGCGCCCTTTCCATCAGCACACCCTCCTGACACTGATCAATAGTTAAGGAAGCCCTAGGAAGTGCCCTTTTATTACCTATATCTATTTACTTTAGAATTACCTCTCTCGCCCTGGCCTAAAACACACAAGCACGCACACGCAAACACACTCAGAGAGTTCTGCATTAACAGTTTTCCTTGTTGCTTCTTACACATTCTTTTTAACAGAAGAGGCAGATTATTTTTGCAAATAAGGAGTTATCAACTTGAGTTACTCAAAATTGGTTTTCAAGTTAACACTGATTGTTGTCTGAGTTTTCAACCCGGTCATTCAACACATTTGTATCA